TTTTTAGTAGAGACGGGGTTTCACCATGTTGACCAGGATGGTCTCGATCTCTTGACCTCGTGATCCACCCGCCTCGGCCTCCCAAAGTGCTGGGATTACAGGCGTGAGCCACCGCGCCCTGCCGCACTTGCTGGCTATTCTACGTGAGAAAAGGCAGTCCGAGGTGGTGGAGGGATGATTCAAAAATCAGGAGAGGGAATGCACCTTGCACCCTCATTTTACACAGGAGACAACAATCTCAAAAAATAGTAAAAATAATTCTGGCCTCTCCTTTGCCAGTTATGTCTGACCACAGACGAGTATTTAACCACTCAGAGCTTTCTTTTAAAAATCTCATTACAAAAGCAGTATTTCTTTACAGTAGAATTTTCGGAAGTACAGAAAAACCCACAAAAAAATTACACACACAATGGAATCATACAGTATATTCTGTTTTGTGGTCTGCTCTGTTTACTTCATAAAATGTAAACCATATTTTTGGTTTTCATTTTTTTCTTTTCTTTTTTTGAGACATAAACCAGAATGTCACTTTATTGATTTGCAACCGGGAACCTAAATATGTTGTGGACTAGAAAGCTCCTGTCATCCACTCTGTATTCTTTTTATGTGGGATGCTTTTCATTTCTTGAATGGATCGTGCTGCAACATTATTTGGCAATGATTTACATGTCTTTTCATAGCATGGACATACCAGTCCTCTCTTGTAGTTAGCTTGCTTTCAGTTCTTTCTTATTGCAGTGTACAACCTTGTAGATAAATGTGTGTACATGCTTATAATTTTTTTTCACTGAATTCTTTTGCAGGGGAATTTCTAGGTCAGAGCATACATACCTTTTAAAGTCTTTTGATATTTATCAACAAGATGCACTCCAAGAAGAGAGTTACAGTCTTCTCCAACATTGGATATTGGATATCATTTTCCTCCATCTTTCTAAATGGGAATAAGACCTTTCTCACAAAGTTATTGTAAGGTTCAAGTGAAGTGAGGACAAAGTGCTACACACAAGTCCTGCCCTTTTGTCTCAGGTTAATATATTTTGCAAGTACTATTACAACAATATAAATTATGGATGTGGAACACTGGCTTAGAAATTACTCTGAACTTCACTCACCGTTAATTCCTTCACCATTTACAATCTGGCTTCTGTTTCCAAATGTTATCTCACGCTTCTCTCTCAAAGGTCACCATTTGCCTTGTAAACTCTTCCTATCCTTGGCCTGTTTATGAAGCTGGTATCTCCAGCCTAACTGTGACTATGTGAGCCCTGATAGCCTTCCAAGAATTATACTATTCAGCAAGAAAGCCAGAGTCAGTTTCTGTTTCATGCAGCAATACCTAGTGTATTATAGGATTCTCAAACATAGCATGTCCAAAGCCACATTCATTACCATTCCAATAAAATCTTTACATATTTCAGCAAAGGAAATAATCTAAGTAATTACATTAGCTGGAAACTTAACATCACTCCCTTTCCTTCGTTGCTTGGACTTGGGTATGCGACAGCCCTGCAGCAGAATCCAGAAGAGCCATTTATTTAGCTGTGGACTTTGGGGGAAATTATTTAAGTTCTCTGCAACTTGTTTTGCCTTTTTATTTGCAAAATTGGTATACTAACACCAATCTTGGTTGGCTGTTGTGAAGATAGTATGGAGTTTGGGCCTACTATAGGCACTTAATAAATAGAGGTTGTAGTTATTACCACCAATTTGTGTTGATGGCACCTCAAAAGAGTTTCTCTTCTAGTCCCTTTGCCCTAGTTCTGGCTTAAGTCTCCTCTGACCTGAGCATTTACCAGAACTTTTTTTTTTTTTTTTTTTTTTTTTTTTTGAGACAAGGTCTGGCTCTGTTGCCTAGGTTGGAGTGGAGGGATGGGATCATGGCTCACTGAAGCTTTGACTTCCCAGGCTGAAGCAATCCTCCTGGGTCAGCTTCCTGAGTAGCTGGGACTATCGGTAGGTGCCACCACATTTGGCTAATTTTTGTAATTTTAATTTTTGTAGAGATTGGGTCTTACCATGTTGGGCAGGCTGGTCTCTAACTCCTGGGGTTAAGCAATCTGCCTGCCTCAGCCTCCCAAAGTGCTGGGATAACAGACATAGGCCACCATGCCTGGCCACAGTAACCTTTTAACTGGCTCTCCCTTTAAAATTCATCACCAACCACCATTACAGTTATTTTTCTAGAGCAGATATCTTCTTTGATGACCATAACCAATGCCTTGAGAATGAAGTGCAAACTCTCAAATATGGCATTTCAAGATCCTTAATAGTCTAGCTTCAAACTACTCCTCCAGAATCCTCTCATTTAACATTAATAAACATTTGTTAAGTGCCTGTTAGGTGCCAGCTACTAATACAACTTATATTTTAATAAGGGACCTGTCAATAAAAACAATAAGGCGATCACAGATTGTGACTCTTTTAGCTTGTTTTGTGCTGCTATAATGGAATACCTTGGTGTAATTTATTTTTTTCATTTTTATTTTTTTGTTGTTGAGACAGTCTCACTCCATCTCCCAGGCTGGAATGCAGTGGTGCGATCTTAGTTGACTGCAACCTCTGCCTCCTGGGCTTAGGCAGGTCACCTGCCTCAGCCTCCTGAATAGCTGGGACTACAGGGGTTAGCCACCATGCCTGGCTAATTTTTGTGTTTTTAGTAGAGACGGGGTTTCACTGTGTTGGCCAGGTTGGTCTCAAGTGATCTGCCCGTCTCGGCCTCCCAGAGTGCTGGGATTACAGGCGTGAGCCACCTCACCCGACCAGACTGTGTAATTGATAAGGAACAGAAGTTTATTGACATTTTGCATTTATTATCATTTGTTACTTTGTTTACCTGTATAAAACTTTGTGTAAATTAAGGATATTAGTTGTTTGCTTTCCTGTACTGAAAACATCTTTCTCCAATTTGTCAATGATTTTAAGGCTTTATTGATTTATTTTTGGTCAAAGAGAAATTTCGTGTGATTCATCTAATTTCTGCCTTGGTATTCTTCTTAGAAAGGCCTTTTTCATTCCAGGATCGTAAATAAATTGATTTACGCTTTATTCAGAAAATGGATTTATTTTATGCAAAAAATAGAATTGTAATTAACATAATTATAATTATTAATTATAATTGGTATAATTATGATATAAAGTGTATAATTATAATATCAATTATAATATTAATTATAAATATTTACTTAGAATTAATAATCAATTAATTTCAGTGTAAATAGTGCTACAAATTCATCTTTTCTTCCCCTAACAACCTGTTAACCCCACACTATTTTATTTTCCCTACTGACTAGGTTACATATAAATCCACTGGTTGGAAATGGTACCTTTATTATGAACTAAAATGCCATGTGTATTTAGGTCTATTTCTGGATTCTGTATTCTGTTCTGCTGATGTCTTTTTCTTCTTCTGTAATAGGCTATTTTAATTATGGCAAGACTATTTGGGTTTTTAAAAACTTTGTTTTTGGGTTGGTGCAGTCAGCATGGTCAGCAGAGTTGGG